AAAGTTGAAGAGAAATTATATCTGGGGGTACGCGAAGACATCTTAGGGGGTACGTGAAATTTTAAAAAAATATATTATTTTATGATAAACACTGAATAATCAGTAATGTAATTTATTTAATTTATTTTAGATGTAGATTATATACTATGTATAACTTGAATTATACACCAACAACTTTGGGGGTACAAAGTTAAAAAGAAATTATATCTGGGGGTACGCGAACAAAAAAGGTTGAATACCACTGGTCTAAATCAATTGCACATATTTGCCTTTACCTAGACACAGCTGCACCGCCCACAGTTTGTCACACAGAGTCAACATTCCACAACTTCTTACGTAACTTTTCCTGTTTTAAACGCTCACACCAAAACATTTTCTATGCAAAATGAAGGTAAAATTGTCTGCGTGCTTACTTAAGCATCATGTCATGATGACATGAGACTGAAGAGGTCTTGCTCCACATATTCTTAACTCCAGCACTAGATGGATGTGAATAGTCTGTCAGCTTCATGTGCCAGGGTAAGAACCCCCAACAGAGTAATGTAAAACTGTCCTACCACATGCCATGGAGGTGTTTGGAGAAAGACGAGCACTAGATGGGCACGAGTGACGACACCCCCATCGCACTTCATCGCCGGAGAATGGACCCCCTTATCCATTGGATATAGGAGGTTGGGTGGCCGCTAAAGGCAGCATGGATGTGAGGCCAGAATAAAAATCCTATGCCCCTGCCAGGGATCAAAGCCTCTCGTCCTAACCAGAGTCAGACATTATACTGATTGAGCTACCCTGGGCCATAAAGCCGCTAGAACCCAGCGGATTGGAGGAGGCTGGGTGGGTCCTACGGTTGGTCTCGACATTGTGATGAAAGATAAAATGTCTGTTATGAATCAAATACCAGTTGTCCAGCCCAAAGCCTGGTCATTATACTGACCGAACTACCGAGGCTCCCCCCACGTGACATTGGGTTCCAAATTTGTTCTTATAGTTTGTCATAGAAAATGGGTTTTAAAACATTTCCGAGAACATGAAAAATAAACAAATCTCAACGTGCTAAAGTGGCATTTTAAAGGGTGGCAGTGAAAATGTTAAAAGTAACGTTATATTATTAGAATCTTTAACCAAAAGCACTATAATAAAGTGCAGTTTGATTTGGTGCAGATGGATGAAATGGAGAAACAGAGATTCACCGCTTCAACATACTGATGCTGCATCACAATTACTACATTCAAGAATGGATATTTTCGATTTGTTCGGTCACGAGTCATCACACACGGCAGCTATCTGTAGCCTGGAGCACCGGTGCCTGGACATCTGTGATGATTAGATCCACTGAATCCATCTTATGGGTACAAAAGTTCAATATTTGGATACTGCATTTCTTCAAGTAACTGATACTGGGAGTACACACACAACCAGCAATAGATCTGTGGGGGCAAAAAGTATAAAATGTACAAATTGGTCCACATTGAATGCTGCAAAGCAGACATCACAAGTTCTTGCTTGCATTGAAAATACAGGATACAGCAGATAAACCAACATTTTTTAGTTTAGTAGTACAAAACATATGAGGAGTGGAGAGGTTTTGAAGGCTATATTTTTAAACCTTGCTTTGCTTTAACAACTAAATTTCACTTGAACGTTGCCTTCAGTATTTCATATTTATGAAAACTTTCATACTAGTACAGTTTATGTAATTTGTAACTCTCCATCTCCCCTGAGAAAATTTTTGATTTACTAGAGACAGGACTGAATATATATTTTTTAAACTTTACACAAACATATGCAAAAATATATCCTACTTCAGAAATGCATTTAAAGAACTAACAACCTTTATTCAATGATGTACTGTTCAAGCCCCAGCTCAAAAATCCCAGAAGGAATGTGGAAATTGTGACATGAGTAGCGGAAAAGAGAAACCTTCCCTTTTACATACAATTATAAGCAATACACAGACAACCACAAAGTTGAAGATTTCCGTCTTCTGGATTGTTGCGCTGTGTAGTCTGGTCGATATTAACCAACGTTTCAGAGGTCATACTGACTTCGTCATCAGGGCGATGATGACGGAGGTAGTATGACCTCCGAAACGTTGGTAAACATCGACCAGACTACACAGCGCAACAACCCAGCAGACCGAAATCTTCATACTCACCGCTGTGAAAACCTCAAATCTTACATACTTTTTTCTTCACTCTGTCCCCTTTACTCCATTTTTAGCATTCCCTCACTCACGCCAGAATCTTCCTTCTGTGTTCCTAGTACAGCATCTCTGTCTTGCTTTACTTTGCTACCCCTTCTCCTTCCTGGAATTCCTCTGGTAATTTTAGACCGAAAAGCTGAGTCCCACGTATGGATCCGCCCTTTTTAACACGACGTAGCCTAATTACACATGCGCAATACTCCTTTAATAACCTACGGGCGAATAAACGTTGGTTAACATCGACCAGACTACACAGCGCAACAACCCAGAAGACTGAAATCTTCATACTCACCGCTGTGAGAACCTCAAGTCTTACAACCACAAAGTTATTCGAATAAGTTTATATAAGAAATCTGAAGTTTCATCCTGAAGGAGGTGGTAATACACTCCTCCGCCACCTACTCTATCGCACAGTGTCACAACCCAGAAGTCCACGAACTAGATATTACTTATTTATATAATTAAATTATAATCACAGAATACAGTGAGATTCCACAAAACCATATAAATTGGAAATGATAGAAATCCATTATTACTTTTGAGCATCCACGCTAATTGCTAAACCTCTCCGATGAAAGTTCATCAACAAACTTCCTGTCACGTAAGTCCAAGAAGATTCAGACTGCTAGCAGAACTGACAAACCTACAACCTAAATACATAAAAAATAAAACTTACCTCATTACAGCACATGCAGAAAATGACCTTCATTGTTCTGTACGTATTCCCGACAATTCCGTAAAATGTTTACATTTGTATGTTTAAGTTCTTCTCGGGTGTCAACACGTGTATAATGCAGGAAACGGAAAATACTACTTTTACTCCGTTAGCTTCTAAGCCAACGGTTAATGAGTTTGCAGGCCAAAATATATGCACTTTCTGCAAACCCTGCATTGTAATAATTCCCTTCACAACGTGGTTATCAGTTCCCAGGCATTAAACTGATGCTTCAGTATCGACCTAGTTCTGAAAATCCATAAGCACGGGCACTTACAATTGTCTCGAAACATTTTCTCGATCCATCGACGTTCTTGCTACTGGAAGAAATTTTCTTCATCTGTTGGCCATTTGGAAAATGGACAAGTATCTGTACCACATACCTTTCAGAATTCAATGTACCCCTGAAGAAAACTTCTAATTACTCAATAAGCATACATACACCGCACTTCTGAAGGTATAATAATGCGTTACTTACATTGTACGCCATCCATATCCAGTCTACCAACGCAGCTAGCACTGACTGAAGCTGAAACAAAAGAAAACAATTTTTTTCAATCTGCAATAATGCATGAGAACATATTTTTACAGACAGTGCAAAAAACATTCATAACTCATGCATGTGTTTCAGTTAACGCTAATAAGTTAAAGATACTCCACAAAAATCTCATTACGAAAAAGGCCATGGGTCAATAAATGTGAATAGCTTCATGAATGCCGCCCTCGGTGGACTAGTGGTTAGCGTGCTCGCCACTGGACCCAAGGTTCGCGGGTTCAAACCAGGCCGAGGTCAATGGATTTTTAAGGGTGATAAAAATCCATGGCACAACTTCCTTCGGAGTGGAAGTAAAGCCGGCGGTCCCATGTCGTAGATTTACGGCACGTAAAAGAACCTTACGAGCATGAGCAAGATTCAGCGGCCATTTCTCACCCACCTCCTGCCTGATTCTCTACTACATGGCTCTAGCAGACAAAATAAGAATTGAGTAGAAATTGTGCAGAGTCAATGCGCTGTTAACTCACTACCCACAAACGCACACATCAAAGACTAGAAAACCTCTGACAGGAGGCAGCCAAGACCCACACCGGGTTGTATAGCCAGAGGAAGAAGTTTCACAAACATTTAGAATACACAAAGCTGGTAGAACCGGTACAAATACAAAAACTTACATATATATAGTATCCGCCAAGCAGCCACAGTCCAAATATAAGCTGGAACAAGATGCATATGCCCATACACACGAGCCATGGAATCATCATACCTCGATTACCTTTTGATATGCCAGACACCAAAAGTATTGAAAGTGCAATGAACAAAAGGAGGTAGAAGATGAATATGCCACCCCAGGTCTGCATCGCTGCAATTACATTTATGTCACAATTAGTAAACAAACAGCATTACAAGAATTAATCTGAATATAGGAATGTAGTTTCTATTGTGGCATAAAAAGTGGAAATGCAGCACATATCTGAGACGACTGAGAGATGTTTAAAAAATTCAATGAATATCAGGCATAACGCTATACTGGTACACTCTAACGGCAGACTAATTTTGATATTGTTTTGTGACAATACATTGCAAAATTCGAATTTCATATGGGTACAATGTCCAAAGAGAATGAACACGTGCAATGAGCGTTTTTATCCCGACCATTCTTGCACGAGTTTCTTAGAAATTAATCTGGATCAGTTTCACTGAATTATTTATTCAATAAATAAATTCATAAAAGTGCCGCATTGGAAATTTTACACTGTAAACGAGTCTCTAAATAATGACACAACGATACCAAGATGCAAACTGTTACGGGCCACAGATACAGCAAAGGCTTTCACATACATTAATCATTGTCTTCGTAAGTAGCAACATCACTCACTTGGAACCAAATATTTTCTCCTCAAAGGCACGCTTTTGCTTTTCGCTACAAGACAATCTACAACTGGTAATGCAATCAAAATACTTACTTCGAATACTTCGAAGCCTAAACCCAGCTTATGGTTACTTGGGAATACAATCACCACATCAATTTGTGCAAATTTACTTTTCTGATTGGTGCATGTAAACCAGATGATTTTGTGGAATGGAGTTTGCGAATTGGTAGACCAATATACCACAATACCTGAGGAAAATTGTTTTCTGGAAATTATCCATCACCCAAGATTAAATAAAATCAATAAAACCCGTGACGTTTCGGAGACGGGATTCTATCTCCGTCTTCAGGGAAAACCTACTCTGTTGGGGCCAATTGATAGAGCTAATCCCTAACTCCGGACCGGACCCAACAGAGTACCATTTACGTAAAGACGGAGATAGATTTCCATCTCTGACATCACGGGTTTTATAAATTTTATTTAATCTTCGACGATGAATAATGCCCAGAAAACAATTTGCTTCAAGAACGCACCATCGTCACAAACTTTCAGACTTGAGCCACCACAATACTCGTCACTGTACTTACATCCACGGACATCCGTCTCAAACAGTGGACTGTACAACTGAGTGGATTCACCTCCTGCCATCATGTACGAAATGAACGTAATCAGGACTATGCTGAATGACTGCAGACACAAACATAATTGATAGTCACAGTTCAAACAGTTGAACACCATACAGATAAAACAGCAGTAATTCCTCTGATTTTCATTTGGGAGGTACACGGTTCACATACTGGCAAGGAAATTATATATCTCGCAGAGGATTTGTAGGTTCCCTCAGTCATTATAGTGGACACAAAATAACTCTGAGCTTCGGCCACGTCCCAGTAAGGGAGAAAGGGCATGGGGGAGCAAGATGGTAGAGTCTGAACATGTATGCAAAAACTACAATTTTTTTCCCCCTTTTAATTTCAACACAGTTGGTGGCATTTCAATAAACTGACTTTTACATTACACTGTATTTTGTAAACTAAAGAAATTATAAAACAGTAACAATGCAGGCACATGTACTACTTATAAAAATAATTAAAGCCGATTTTACAATATCATTCTAGCAGTCACCTAATTGATCATGGAACTGTTAGGATTAAAAACAATGTATAAAATGCAGTCCATGACACATGAGGTGATAAACTGGAATGAAGTTCATGAGGAACTGCATAAAACACTTGAAATTGCTCCTTCTACTGTAAACTGCTGATAACTGTCTTTGCAATAATTAAAATTTTTCTGAAGGGTGCTGAATCTGGTAAATAACAGAAAGAAGTGCCAATTTTCTAAGTGATAATTAACCTAAATGTTCAATTTCCAGCCAGGAATTTCTTCACGAGCTTTACAGAAAGGACTTTGGACTAAACTTCAGGAGTTAAATAATTACTTAACACACTTTGCATTGCAGTGGAGAACCAACTCTCTCTCTCTCTTAGATTAATTATCATTTCTTAAACTAGTAACACATATACAAACCGCAGTGTAAAATGCAACTGCTCTGCTACCAGTTTTTACATTACTGTTCCAAATACATGGAGACCAGCAAGTCTTCATCACCGCCATCTTGTCGTCAACTGGCAAACAGAAAATTAAAAGATGTTATGTACTCAATACCATGACATTCCAAAGAACATTTATAATTCACACCTCCTAAGGTAGAACTATAAAGAATTGTTATTCCTTGCTCATGACACCTCACTACAAGTGCGATGATGAGCCCACCACACTCAAAAGCCTAGAAGTCCAAAAACAAAGAAGGAAACAATCAATATTCTGATCCAATAATACAATTTACAAGTTGATTCATGCTGGAACCGATTTTAAAATATCTGTCCACAAATACAACAAACCACAAAGAACAAGTTCATAGCACACATACTTCACACAGATCTGATGGAATACACCACTGTTAAGAACATTATAGAACATTTGGCATCATGATTACTCAACTGTGTATTAAAAAATAAGTTATAAGTTTCTCACAATGCAGTTCCTTTTATCCTACAACGTTTGATTATTATGATTCAGGAAACCATCACCTGATGAACATCTATGCCACTTGCACAAAACTCAGTGTTTTTAAAACCTACCATACCCTACTGCAACATAACCAAAAAAGACAAACTAATTCTAGTTTACGGTTCCTTCAAACACAATTCAAGCCCTCCACTTAATCCAAACCACAATCACGCTGACAAAAGTAAATGGTACTATAGAACCAAATAAATTTGGAAATTACTACACGTAACCCTGATAAGTTGGTAGTATTAATAACGAATACATATGCATCACAGGTTGACACCATATAATAACACACGTCAACTCCAGAGAAAAACAAACAAAATTGTTGACGTGAACAACCATTATGCTACGATCTACAGTAGTATACCTTCCACAAACAATAAAATAGTTACATATTATATTCCTTATCCAATCTTATAAAATATTTCTTCACACCTCACCCTGTTAGAAACGAAGCACTGAGTCAACGCCCTCCTCAACAGCAAATTGCCAACAAACAATTTTATAAGTTTCACACACCGCACCCAAACTCTACAGGATTGCCAATATTATTACCTTAAACACACATTCCATTGTAAATAAAATAGATGTGTACTGCAAAGGAAAAATACTTCAATGTGATGAAACATATTTTCATGCAACATACCTTGCCTCGTTTTGAATTATGCCAAATAAATCGTATTTACACATTTTCTTGATTTTAGCAAATACAGAAACTTACCTGAGGGAGCATGCAAATATTGGCTAACTTCTCCAAGATTGATTACGGGGAGGAAACCACGTTTAAATTTGATATTCCCTGTACCTCAGCTCCATGCAGACCCGAAATTGATATGGGCGTGGTGGAGAAAAGAAAAATCTCTGCTTTTTTCCACAAATCGAATCCCGGTCGTCTACCCATAACTGTTTGTCATTTGCTGACTGAACTTCTTGACTCATCTTATGGGTTTTTATGGAAATGAAACAAGGTTCTTGTTTTTTAAAAAATATTTCCCACAAAAAATCAAAATTATAGGAGAACCTAGAAAAATAAATAACTTTTTTCGGCCGCAGTAGATAAACAAATAATTACCTACAAAACAAATAACATAATGCTAAACTCGTGAAAGCATTATTACAAATGAAAATGTTGTACTAATATATTTTTAAATACATCCGCCAGAACAAATGAATATGGCAGCATAATTGTTTAATAACATTAGTTTATGTTTTCACTGATGAATTAATTCATCAGTTCAATCACACTTTTTATCACCCAGTTAACTCAGTGGATTTCAAAGGAATCAGGTGCCACAAAATGTTTTCGTTTCAGTTTAATTCTGGTCAACATCGGTGCATTATAACCCCTGCCTTACACATTAATAGACTTAATTATATCTGTTGCACGTTTATGTCATTAATTAAACACAAGCTAGGTTTTCTCTGGCAAAATGTCAAATTCTCATGGCAAATATGAAAATGATTTCTAGGTTGCAAAACAGTGTAGTCTGGTAAAAGTTTACCGACGTTTCAGAGGTACTTGTACTAAAAAATTGGTTAACTTCTACCAGACTGACTACACGGCGCGACATCCGAGTAGACAAGTCATCTTTCCGAGATTGTTTTATGAAAAATTTGGCTCATGACTGAAAGAAGTTATTTTACAATTCTGTTAATTTTCGCTAGTTGTCTGTTGCTTTCTAATAAAACTGCCAAAAGACAAAGACGCGACAGCAGGAAAGTATGTCCTGCCAATAAATTGGTTTTAAGTATGTTCTGCATGTGAGGAACGACTAAACGTTGATCTACACGTCAACTGATGGCTCCGGCCGGGGTACCATGTCTGCATAAACATCAATTTCAGATCCCATCCTGGGGACTTCCTCCGTAAACAGCAGATGTGATAACTCCTTCGCCATGCGAACTGTGATAAGCTCGGTTGACATAGTCGCTGATTCTGTGCCATAAAATTTCGTTTCTTTATTCCACAAATCTTGATAACTGTTAACTCATTTAATGAAGACAAGTTTATTTCCTCATTTATCACCATCAAATACTGACCTTATCTCGACATGTCCTGCTTTCACACTATATTTGGTCAGAGTAGACTGTCCGTATTTCGTCTTTCCACAGTTTGTAATCAGAAGGAAGTTTTGAAATTCCATCATCCTCTCCATATTTTCTTTCCACTGTCTTCTAAAGGAAATTATATTGTTTAACTGTTAATTCCTGTCAAATGTCTTTAACTACTCTTCATACTGACCTCAGGAATTTCAAGTCTAAACTTTTAAATAATTTTCAGTGAGTTGAATTTAAAGTCAATATTTTTACATACATAAAGACACGAAACTGCCATCACATAGTGAAGTTTTAACAGACCCTTAACACTATAAGTCTGAGATATTGAAAGCATTGTCAAATAAATCATAAATATATAAAACAGACCACACTTAAAGATTTCCTTTTCATATTCTCATCACCCTAATGATGTAGGCACAACTGCCTCTGAAATGTGTGTGCTTTTTTATGTAACTCCAGAACCTCTGAATGGAAGATCATGAAAGTTGACAATGGAAGTTATACAAAAATCTGTCAACACATCCTGACCACCTTTCTGGATTAAAAAAGCACCTACAAATACTGACATTTTACCAACACATCACACTTGACTGTTTGCGAGGAACACAAATTAACATGCAGGAAGACACAAAACTGTGATAACAAGCACAGTTTAAGCATGGATGAAAAAGTCACTCAATGTCATATCAGCTTATGGGGGAGAGTGGACATGCACGAATACATCTTGATTTTCCCATAATAATTTCAACTAGAAGTTGAATAGCAGCAAACAAGGTGGGTAAATTAAATGCACATATACAAAGGATCTGGAAATATGTGATAATGGCCGTTTCAAAGCTCTATTATCAAATCAAAGCACACAGTACCTGTCAGAACAGTCTGTAACTGGCTAGTATTGAAGGAGAGTATTTCCTAAATACAAGTCTACAGCTACTGCTAAAACTTCCTTTGATTCTCTAGGTCAGCAATGTAAAGTGGCAATGTTTGGCTCAAATGTGTACCACACCTCAAATGGGTGACAAAATTGCTATTGTCTGTTCTGGTCTACCATACCACTGATTCCACAGCATTTTTGTACCAGAATTGTAATTTATTATTCTGAAGAGCCAATTTATTTAATTAACATTGATTACCCATTTGCCATTATTTATAATGTCAATGTTACTTTTATCTTCCAGGTCTCATCACCGTAATATTATAATTAAATATAACATCATTAATTAATAGCTATATCGATAAAGAACACAAATATCAACCATCCACTTTTTGAACAGAAAGCACATTTCATTTCCAAAACTAATGGTCACATTTTAATTAAATTTTGTATTGGAGGTAGACAATAGACATTTTAATGTGAATTTAATTTTGGTGCGAACCAGTCAATTCTTCTTCTTGTATGGCTCTCCGGTCCGTATTTGGTCCATGGTCTCCTCAATTCTCCTCTTCCATTCAGTCCTTCTGTTAGGTCCGTCTGTCCGAGGTTGAGGTTTCGAAACATATTCCTTTTTACGGTGCAAGGTTGTTAGCCTTGCGACCAACCCCCAACCTGAAGGACCAGGGTACCTGTCTTAGTCTGACCTCTCCCCCTCGACCAATCTGGCTAGGGAGGCCCTACCAGTAGCTATGCTACCACCAGCATATACCAGTCAATTACAACCACCTACTTTACATCTTGAACCAAAAGAGATGACATTTATGAAATTCACGCATTACTGTCTCATATACATGGAACAAATACAATACACCATATTAAACAATCAATGGCCCAAATATCATACAATTTTTCTTCAAAATAATGCAACCTTTTAATGGTTTCTGTATGTTGCTTAATACAATGTTATTAAAGATTTGTGGATAATTAATCAAGCACCAAATAAAATATACCTTACACTTTATGTTATGTTAATTTATTTTCATTTTCATCCCACAGGATGCATTACAGTATCAACATAATCAATTAAATAAAACATAACATTTGGAAAAGATACTTTTACATCACAATTCTTCTGTATATACAAGTTATCTCCAAACTACCTAAAATAAGACACACATTTCCTGTCCCTGTAAAACAATCATTAATGGAATGTACAAACATAAAACTACAGCACCTGTACAGCTCTCATGCCAACTGAAAGATGTCTCTAAAGTCAAACACATTCAAAATACAGCACTCTCAATATACAGAACCTCAAATTCACATCTATATTCATATTTACAATTTACAGCCACAAGTTTATTAAATTTATTCTGTGCCATGTATCTTCACATATCTGATTCACACCCAGAATACAAAACTCTGTGTATCGTTATTTTACATCATTATATATTATGATGTTCTCAACCTGACTAAATACAATGCCATATTCAGACAATCATCTACATCAGTATCACAAATTTTATTCTGTACCGACAAAACTTTATTCGTTGCAACTTTACTTCACATAATATCACAAAACTCAGGCTGCATTAATTTGCAGACATCTGTCTACATTAGTAACTATTTAACTTTTGCAGAAGAATATATGATGAGGAAAAGACGAACTGTATTCAAAATATTTTCGTATCATCTGCATATATTTACTGTTCAGGACACCATCACTTCCTAAAAATGTACCTATTCCTGATTACTTGGATCAGAAGAGGATATAACAAAATGTGATGTTATTCAATATTAAATCTTCTTTAACATTTACTAAACATAAAAATGGTTCTAAAAATAGATGCACCAATTACCTGCACAAAATAGTTAAACAGTTTACAATTTTTATTTGTATGAATTTACATAATCTGTTCAGTGTTATAACATCAATTTAGAAAGAGGTACAATTCTCAAATTCTTGTTAGTGATATATATATGAGATCTATGCTAGAAAAGTTACTATTTTATAACTAACATATCTTTCTTTAATTTTCTGTTTCTTTTCAGTTACTAAATAATTTGTGCTGAACTTTATTCATCTTCTTCTTCTTTAACCCTTTGACAAGTGATATTTAAATGGCCTAAAACACTGCCAGAGTACTGGATTTTTCTTCATATAATACTCCTGATTGATTAAAAGATTGTAAGAAACACCATTCTGCTTTATATTTCACATAAATATATTTAATTGTATAATACGTTTGCATCTTGCACTGCATACTCAGTTAATGTAAAAATAATAATAATACAAGAAATTCAAGTTGCCTAGAAACACTAATTAATTTTAAAACTCAACAAAATGTACTCAAATATTAATTTTAGAGTCTCTTACAGACATATATGCAAACAGGCCATGTTTCTAATATTGGGTCAAGAGTTTATCATGAGTCCATGTCCTGTGCAGTGTTATGACAAGCTCTCCATATAACGAGACACAAAAAGTGGAGAACATCTGTGAATGTTCACATTCCACGCAGTATAATTGACACAGAGCACACTGGTACATTTGCGGACATCAAAGAATTAATTGCAAGTGTTCAATGTAAGTGATACTGTTTGTTTGACAACCACATAAACATAATTACATTTGTTCAAGTTTAATATTTTTGGGTTATAAGTTTTATATTAGTTGTTGAAAGAAAGTTAACTTTTATGTTGTAAAAGGCATGGTTGTGTGGGCTAGTAATCATTAGATCTGCAGACTATTACGTGCCATGGAAAGAATATAGCAATCCTCAAAGGAACGCTCTGCGATTTTATCAGTCTGTGAATCAGAATTGGCTGAAAACCACAGAATATCAACTGTCCCTAGAACAGGTGCCGAAGTCAATACTACATCACACCTGAGAACATATATGGACTGATATGGAGCAGACAGTACATGTTCACAGGATGAAGTTGAAAGAATTAAGAGAATTACTGAGCAATAGTGAAGTCAAGTTATTTTCTATGACATGTTCAATATGTTCTTGTAAAAGAGTAAATCCACAATAAAATATATGTGTATATAATTTATTGTCTATTACTTTCCTTGTAAAACAATATAATTATTTTGTATATATAGTTAATTACATGTAAAATGTCATGGCTGGAATGCTGATTTGCTAGGACATGGTTTCAAATACAAAATTACATATCAGCAATTCAAAGGTCAGGATTATTTATGCTTTAAATTGTACTTTAAAGTAAATACTATAATGTTAAAGAATGACAAGTAAGTATATGCTTCTATTCGTGTAGAACAATTACAGGAAAATGGATGGAATGGTAACAATCTTCAGAACTTTGAAATTCAGTTTCTAATATCATAAATCTCTTTCTCTAAAAATATTAGACTAAGGCACCACTGGACAGATTAATTACATGACTTTTGTTACTTCCCATATCCTATATTAGGCAGGAAAATCAAAGCTATGCAGCACCTGAGTATACATTCATGTACATGACCTTGAGAATAGCCTTTAACAGCTGTTTCCTTGCACTGGGTTAACACTTGTTTATCACCTGCAGTCTTCAACTTCAGGTCTGCTCTTGGAGCCACTCAGCATTCCAACCAATATTACATTAAGCATTCAACATAGTCACTGCATACTATGCTACATATTTGGTGATTTACCATTAGTACAAACTTCCTCAAGTTCAAACCAAATATGTCACAATATAAAAGAATGTTTCAAACACTAACAAAATCATACACCAGAAATAAAAATTAAAGAAATGATACACACGGACACTTAACAGTTTACTCCTCTGAATATAGTAGAACATAAACAGTAAAGGGTACTGCCACTTACAATGTAGAAATATTTCATTTTTTTTTAAATACCAGAGAAAAATTTGGCCAACAGCACAACACACTGGTGTTTTAAATGGAACAAAGTATTAATAAAGGGATAAATATAATTTCCTGAAAGTCAGATTAGAATCTATTATCCCTAAACATGAAGATTAAAAGATATAGAACCACAGTTTTACCAGTTGTTTTATACGGGAGTGAAGCTTGGCATCACATTATAAAAGAACACAGCCTAAGGATGTATGAAAATAACGTGTTGAGGAGAATATTTTGAAGAGGAAATAAAAGGAGGTTGAAGAGCTCCATAATTTGAATTCTTCGCCCAGTAATATTGGAGTAATTACATTAAGGAGAACAAGATGGACAAGGCATGTACCATGCATAGGGAAGACAAAATACCAAATGTTTTAGTCAGAAAACATCAATGTTTGAAATTCGCCCAGTAATATTGGAGTAATTACATAGAACAAGATGGACAAGGCATGTAGCATGCATAGGGAAGGCAAAATACCAAATGTTTTAATCAGAAAACATCAATGTTTGAAAAATGTGGGTGCAGGATGATAATATTAAAATAAATCTTGAAGAAACAAGGATAAAGGGCACAGATTGGATTCAACTGGCTCAGGATAAGATCCAATGACAGGCTTTTTAGAACAGGGTGATGAACCTTGAATGAGGCTGGGTAGTTCAGTCAGTATAGTGTCTGGGGTTGTTCAATCCACAGCGAGGGCAAAGGATTTCTTTTCTAGCATCTGCATCCAGACTGGCTCCGAGGCCCACCCAGCCCTCTATCCGATGGGTACCGGGGGTCCTTTCACTGGGCATAAAGTATGGCCAGGGAATGATACTAACCCTTCTCTAGTGCCAAGTTCAAGCATTAACAGGAACTATATCTCATCTCCCCTCAAGCAACTCAATGGTATGTAGAGGGACAACTTTACTTTCCTTTAATAAACCTTCAAGTTTCATAAAAAGTTAAGCATTTAATTTAAATGGCAGAGCAAAGTGTCAAGATTACTTCCTTTTAGAAGAGCTCCCTGAATGACTGCAGAAAACAAAAAAGTAGTTTTGTAGTCATATATACGACAAAACATGCTGCGGCAAACAATTCAAACAGCCACAGTAAAACACCGGACTGTGTACGTACAATGTTCAGAAATCACCGTATCACACTTATACGTATGTGACTTGCACAGTGGTATTTCTTTCAAGATAATGTTTCACGTACTATTTCAATACTAGAAGTGAAATGCGTAATAACTACAATGATTATGCAAGACTGCACTTCGGTGACAGTCATAGTGCGGACTGCTATTATCCATTTGATTTTTCTTTTCATCAGAGAGTTGAAGAAAAATAAGACAATGAACAATAAGTACAGTAAAGTAAGAGAACAATAACTATACTAACTTTTAAAGCTATCCGTTCTATTATGTGAAATATATAAAACACTCCAATGTAAATGGCAAACAACTAACATTTATGAGAATACACCAGACATAATTTTATACTCCATAGACATACCAAAGCAAAACATTCTAGAATCAAAAGCTACTTTCTTATTCTGCTACGGATATTACTATAAACAGCAATAAACAAACAACAGGTCAAAAAACATAAGAAATTGCAATAATAGTTGATATATGAAAAATCCAGGATATCAGAACATTGATAAAGTAAACGTTCTTCATTTAGCGTCAATGTCTTCATGAATGACATCAACATTTTCTATGTGAGGAAGTTAAATTGCATACAAACAGCCAGAATATCACAATATGTAGCTTAGTATACAGAACTATTGTAACTAATAAAATAACTGAATTTATATTCACATAATACTATACAACTATACCTGCACCACTGTTCTAGCTGTCTTCATTTCACAAATCATTTTCTCCTAATCAGTTGGTACGTAGAGGCAAATTTGCTGGAATGTGACTTGCAAATGAGGCCGGGAACTGGCCGTACTTCCCACCACTCTCCCCATATAACCAATCATTATTTATTCTGCTTATGACATATACAGATGATCCTTCCTGTGAAAGTGAACAATACAGATTATAGTATCTACCTATTAAAGTACGCGCCAAAGTCAATAAATTACCACTTATATAAAATATATTGCTTAATACTGAGCAGAAAGTGGCTATAAAGGACTGATGGAACTTTTATGGCAGGGAGGGCAAACTGAGCGCATTTTTCCTTACTCCCTTATCAGGCTGAAAGCAAAAGACTCACTGTGAAGAGTGGCCAATGCTCACGTGACTGTTGGCAGATTTTTAGGAGATTATCCCGCAACTACTTAGCAATGAGTGCAGAGGTGACTGTATTTATAATTTTTATTCAAAATCAGCGATGTAAGAATTACGATTTGGTATCAAAATCAGCACGCGAAACATTGACTTGCTGGTTTCAAAAGCGGAATTATTCTGAATCAGCGAAAATTGAAGCGGAGCAAATCGAGGGTTACCTGTACTGTAAAATGCAGATTTCACCAAGATTTACAACTTTGATTTGGAATATATTTCGACAGCAAATGTTTGATAAAATACAAAAGGAAAACTAACTGCAAACTCTATTCAATGATTCCTGCAGAGTGATTAGCTTTGCAATAACATATTTGTATTTGAAATACATGAACATAAATGGTTAATAGGTTATACAAAACACCAAACACATTTGGAGAATACATTTATCCCACTGTAACAAATATCTTCTCTCTTGTTAATTTAAAAACAATGCTGTTTTAATGTTATACAAACAGTAATAAGATGACGTCACAATGACACAGACTATACTGTTCCAGTAAAATGTCACACTCACCCGCAATTCTAGGTCATCCCAAGTTTCAGCAGCAAATGGGTACAAAGCTGTTACAATTTGTGCTGCAGGTCGTTGACTTCGTTGAGTGGTGCTGCCTTTGGTGTCATGTAAAGGAACTATTACTTTAATAAAGGTAGCAGGAAACATTCCCTGGTTTAGACCAACTTGACCATATAACCATTCAGTATTTACTTGACGCAGAAGGAAGATGGTGTCATTGGCCTGAAATGAGACATGTTTATAAATAAAATGTTCTGTATGGAGTCAAAGCAGCCTCAAGTAGAGAAATGTTATTGAATTTCAGCAATTACACAAGGAAAAGACTATTTTATTTAACCCTTGACTATAAATCATTTTCAGCATATAATTTTATTTGATTTAAAGGAGATCAATTTAACAAACATGGAATTTATCAATTCACATGTACCTGAAAAGCGAGATCATCAGGATGAGTGGCAGGATAATCGTACAAGGCAATTCCATAAGGATTCTGAACATCTTCCACCTGTAAAACCAAATGGAAGAATAAGTTTTTGCCATTCACAGTGACAGCAGTCCTGTTCATATTACACAACTCACATCACCTGCAAGTGGACTGGTCGTGGAGGAAGTTGTGGTGATGGACCATCAGACTCCAACTCCTGCAGTGCCTCTGGAGGTGGTGGTGGAGGTGGAATGGAGGGCATCGGCGGTGACCAGTTACCCACGTCATCAAAATCTCTGATAGGCACCAAATGAGGAAAGGCTTGACTTTTGGTCTCCAATGGAAACCATGAGATGTCTGAAGTCTGGTCACTGGAGGCCTTATTCAACTTCGGTAATGCGGGTGGTCGCCCGGGTTTTGCTCGAATTATTGTCGGCATCGAACTAATACAGGAGTGTCGAACCGCACTTGAGGAGCTATCACTGCTTTGTTTATAAAATGTAGAGTTGCCAGCAACTTTCTGAACTGATGCACTATTCACAGAAAAGTTCTGCTGCTTTGAAGGCAAAAACAGTTCTTCTGATTTGGAAACACTCCATGGATCTTTTTGTTTGTCTAAAGGAGTACCAAAGCTAGATGATCTGGTTAGACCTCCAAAAAAATCAAAATCATCCTCAAATCCACTTTCAAACAGAGAGGAGCTTCCTCCAAATGGAGTGTGTCCATTGTTTGATACAGAGCCATCACTTCCAAAGCTGTTCACGCTGAGTCCATCACTGCTAGAATGAGTAGTTGGAGTTGGGGAGCATGAGGGAGAGCGAAAATCAATCAGTGGTGTCGCCCCTACAGTTGTTTGACTTTCTTTCTTCATATTTTTCTGCTGTGCTGAAATGCTATGCTGGGAATGAGTACTATGTGATGATGCATTCCGCGTAAACAGTCCTGACAGAAGGCGGGGTCGAGTAGGCACCTACAAACATTGATATCAAGCCAGTTCACATTTTATGCATGTCTACCTATTACGTCATTTAAATACAAGAAACTGAATGTAAAAAAATGTAATTTATATAGAAAAGGTCAGAAAGTTATCACCTTGTATTTTTAAGACAGTGTGATTTACTCTTAGAAAGATGATGGTACTTTTGAAACAAAGTTCTGACATCCATAAGAACTATACCAACTATCCAGTAACACCACAAATGATTATATTTAAATCGATACCTATACAAGCTGATACATTTGGTAAAATGCTAACTCAATATCCAACCTGTTTTTGCTGGTACTTTTGAGGAAATTTGGGTGGTGGTGGACGCGGAGGTGGTTTCTTCTTTTCTCCAGGTGGTCGACCCACATGTACAGACAAAGGCCCATTTGAGAAGATGTGCTTACATAATGGATCATTGCTGTGGGATAGATAAGATATTTGAAGAATAAAGAATAACAAGCAGCAGACCGTTTATCTCGCCTCTTGCTCAACTAAAGTTAACGTAATCAGTGACATATTAATAAAGTCTTCTCGGGCTATCAGCCGTGTTACGCTACAAGCCACACAGTCAACAGCCTTGAAAATGAGGACAGAGATGGTCCTCGAAATGTCAGCGATTAATCACCAACTAACACGGCTGATAGCCCGAGAAGACTTTATTAATGAAAGCCACCATGAAAGCTTCACATCATTTAACAGTGACATATTGTTTCCATCATACAACATCCAAATGCCAGATCCTTGACAGATCAAAAGGTATTCTTCACCAATGTCGAAGTATGAAGAATGCATAAAAATTATATCACAGTCTTTAATGTGATCCAACTGCTCCTAAAGACCGCATATCATCCACATTGCTTTGTGCATTCAAAAGCCACATTACACTAACAAGCAGAGTGCAATGTCCTTGTACACCTACTGTTACTATCAAAAGTAAGCTTCACACGCTACACATCTTATATTAACAATGTTGTTCTTCTGGGATGTGATGCCATGGGGACTGCAGGTAGATACCAACATTTTAGAGGAATATACCTTCTTAATCTTTAGGGCTGAAGAAGGAGGAAGAATGTTTCTCAAGAATACTACTTATGATTAAACATGCTATCACAAACCAGAACAACAATGCTGTCATCATAACTGATATGAGAATCTCAAATATCACATCTCATTTTGTTTGCAAAAACCCATTCCAAATCAAACCAATGAATGGACCATGTCAATGTATTTAGGAAGACAATGATTTGGTTTTGTAAATTGTACTTCACTGCTTGCTAACAAAAAGATCAGGCAGAGTCTGGTCACATAACCTATGTAGTTAAACACATTTAGAAAAAATTCTCTTACTGAAAATATCATGCAATAGTGCCAGGCAGGCACAAACAGTAGCACTATCTTGTTTTAAACAGCCATGAATTATCAGCATTTTCATTTATCTGTGAGCTGAAATATCATTTCACAACAGCATTTGTGTGTTCATGGTCTCATAAAAAAATATAGAACTGATTGCTTTGGGATATGCAGACTAAATTATCCTACATTTTCTCCTCTGTCAGCACTGTTCACCTGCCTAATCTCATGACATCCATTACAAAACTCTTTTCACAAGATTTCTTAACTCTACACTGTATTACAATATAGTGCCTAAAAACGTGAAGATGGAAACAGTAGGGTTCTCTGAAACATTGCTAATCATCTATAAGATTATACCGCATGACAACACAAATAACCACAACTGACATCTTCGCTTCTGTGAGAACCTCAAACACAAACAATAAAACAAAAATCTGATACACACCAGTCACACCAATCATCAAAGGCACAAGTGTTATGATGCAGGCTCATATTTTGATTGCTGCTGGGTGGGAGTGGTGCAGATCGAACAGGTATTTTCATATCTGTGAAAAGGACAGCACTTTGTTGTGATTTTTCTCAAACATGTTGAAATAAATAAGGAAAAGCCACACAGTATGGGGATACTGATGTATGTGCAAACTTTCTGATTTTAAACACATCTAGACTGCTGAAGGATACATATTAAGAGCAGTAATTACTCCCCAGGCAAGCTTCAGTTACTGGGCAGGCGGAACACAATAAAATCCCCAGATATGTGGGGAAGATGTCAATGAGGAGTAACCCAAATAAGAAGTCCTCGACTGAGGAGACAGTGCTATCAGGGTGCGCAAGTATAACTAACCATTGGCATGGTTACACTATAAAATACTACAAAACCCAAAGATTACAATGTAACATGATGAGTAAGCAGTTGTTTTATGACTATTCCCAAAGGTCAAGAAATAAATACTGAACAGATTTTTTAAAGAGGTAAATTTACAAAGTTCCAAACACTTTATGGCATCTCCAGGTAATATTAATTATACACAGAACACACCCTTGACAATCAAAATTCATTTAAATACACAAAGTCACTTCAGTGCTTGCTCCTGACTTTTAAGGTACCTGTACATGGTTTGTATCTTAGCTATGGCACTAACTATCCTGAAACTGTTCATGATTTTCCTCAGTCCTTCAGTTCAGTGCTGGGATAGTAGACTGAAATAGGGAATGACCACTATGTACACTCATTTCAGATCATAATTTACATTAATCTTCTTACATCATTTGACACTATATAACCTCTGACATTGATATGGCATACTTACATAGCCTATGAATCAAATAACATGACTCACTGTAACACAGAAGCTGACATACCCAAAATATAGGCTACTTCTTATTCCACTAATAAAATTAAATTTAAGTGTTCTAAATTAAAATGAAATCAATGCTGGCGACTCAGAACGTAAATACACAAACTGGTTATTCAAGTAATATAGCAACAGGAAGCTAACGGTTGAAACATAAAATGGAGAAGACAATTTTTCTTATTTTAAAAGTACCGAAAGTTCTTTGTTGATAACTGTATCTCTTCCACAGGTGTTTCCGTGTGAGATTAAAAAAAAAAGAAATCGACCTCCAACGAACTTCTTACGTAATTATAATAGAAGAAATTACTGTACCTGAGGCCTGTAGAACGCAATAAGCCACGAAGATATGTAAACAATTAAAACCATAAAGTAAAAACACATAACTGTCTTCGCTTATCGACGACAATTAAACGTCACTTACCTGCACGAGAGTACGAAACCATCTTGCATTTTTTCACGCCCCAACTAAACCCTGAGCACAGATTACCAACGCAATGACTACCACAGAATATTATACCTCTGAAGCTAACAACTGCGACAAATTTCAACTAACTTGTAAATGAAAAAGGCCTCAAAAATCGCCACTTATTTTGACACCGCTGATGCTTTAGGGCAATTGAAATAATTACTTATTTCCAAATCGGTGATGTACTGTTGCATATAAATTCCGTTTGTCTTGATATATTAGGCAACAGAGCTCAGATTATGTGGCATAGAATATTATGGTTGGACGAAAGGCACGGAAAGGAAAGTGGCCATAACCTAATTCAAGCACTATGGTGACGTTTCTTTGAATGGACAAAGCCACGAAAACCTCAGGATCGAGATTTGAACCTCATAAATATGAATCAGAAGTACTAACCATTCAATCGGGAATTATTCTTTAAAGAAAAAATTGACAGTGGAACCACGGTTCCGGAGAATCTGACGTAAATACGTCTTTGTATTTAGGCACTAAATACAATGAAAGGAAGTTTATATATTAGCTTTATTCTAAATATTCCCTTTATACATTCTTTACAATTGAGTAAATAGTTTGATTAAGATATTGCTTGTACTTGCTAATGATGTGGAAGCATTAACTTGCTTCTTGCGATTTCTATATTCCCTCACACGTTCAGCATTAGTGTTTGGTATTTTTTGGGAAACTTCTATTTTTTACGTTTTCTGTCCTGTCATATATTCTGCATTACGGACTCTTTTAGCTTCAATGTCGTCATCTTGTTGTCTCTACATAGTATGACGCAACACAAACGGAGCAGTAGCGTAAAGTGCGATACGCCTTTATCCCTTACCTGAAACTTTGTTCAGTTGCAAGAGACCACGATGTCCACCGGCAATGATCAATCTAATCAAAACTAAGAGAGTGGAGGGCAGTATCACAGATTTCTTAATAATTCTTATATAAGATTAAGTACTTGTGATATTCTAAAACGGCAGTAATGAAACACAACAATGCCGAATAAACAGATGACGTAACAATTAGTTTCTTAGGTAAAGGAGGGGATTGCAATACGGTTTATTCAGGCAATTATACAGTATGCATAATAAATGGGAAAAGAGTCTTACGGCGTGCTCAGCCAATATTAATGCAGGCGTGTGTTAGAAATTCGAATACTTTTTCTTGCATTGTTATACACGCAGGAGTTCATATAAAAGCTGACCATTGTCGGTCCATATTTACACATCGTTAGCATGGATCTTACACATCTTCGTAACGCTGTTTTTGCCGAATGACCCTTCCGTATAAACGTATTTACGTCAATAAAAATGGTGTTACGGAAACAAAAATTCATATCAAATTATTCATAAAAGTAAATCTTCACAAGGCTGTGCTTCTCAGTATTCGTTACGTGTCTTTGGCCGAAATTGTCTTAATATTTATGAGACGACAACTCCTCGGCTTAGTGCTCCATTTTTTAAAAACATTGCACTTTTAATGTCATCACCATAGCCTTCTTCTTCTATGGCTCTCCGGTCGGTATTCGGTCCTTTGGTTGGTTACTTACTTAGACCCATTCTGCCAGCCATGATATAATTCGAACTTTGAAAGACCGCCCCTTAGAATATCACTGATGTAAAAAAAATTATCTTAAACAAGAAAACACCTGACGGAAAGAAAAATATCTTCTGAAAAAAATTTCAAGGCCCATACTTGAAATATCGATAAGGTAGGAAACCTATGAAGTAGTTCATAGCCCATCAGTCTTATGATACTTCTTTCTTTCCTCTTGCTACACAAAAGGTTACCACTATTTAAAATAACGCTCCAAAATCCGGGAAATCTCTTGGTACAATTCAGAATATATTTGTACAGTTGGTAAACGGGAACGAATAATGTTGTACAAAAGGCTGTGGAATTTTAGTATTTTGGTGTCTGTATACCGTCGTTATGTCAACACTGCAGAAGACTATTCTAAAAGCAAAATTGCCACCTATTGTGCCGGTTGGTTCATTGGGGTCAAGGTGTGTAGATACTAATTTCAGCAATCCTAAATTGTGACTGATATGTTGATATTAAACCAGGATACGTAATATTGGTAAAAAAAAGTAATATGTCAAATGTAGCAAAGAGGCCTGATTAGTATAAGTTCAGCACTTGCAGTGTAGGCAGAACATGTTTATACACACGTAAACAAGAAAATATGCCAACTAGTAGTGAATACAAAAAGAATGGTTTACATTTTATTTTGAGTTAAAGGTTTGTTACTTATAGGGGGAACCGGCGTGGTGGCATTGGCAGAAAGAGAGATTACACACCAGTTAAATGGAGTCGTTATTTTAGCCAGTGTCGTGATGTTGCTGTAAATGGAAATCAGTTCAGAGTGTATTGCTTGGGCGATAGTGGCCCACTGCTGGTACTGCTTCATGGAGGTGGCTTTTCTGCTCTAACCTGGGCCCTATTTTCTGTAAGTTATTAGTATGATGGAAATGTAAGTATGGAATTTGCTACTTCCATTTGGATGTCCTGCATTGGCTGTTTATGTCATCCTTCTCAGATCTACATAATTTTGTGAACACCCCTTGTAATATATGGTCTTTCCTCAGTGTAATAGAATGTTTCATGGCATATAAAACAAGTTGCAAAGGTATGTATTAAGGGATTACAACTATTAAAAAACACCACTTATATACACCCATAGCACAGTGGTTTATTCCTAAGTGATGAGCTTACATCTCTTCCTGGTCTCTTATGGCTTTGAAAACATTTGATAAACCCTGTTATGACATCTTTATTTCAGTCCTCAGTGACAAGTATGGTAGGCTGTCAGGTATTGGCCATTGACTTAAGAGGTCATGGAGACACTGTAACCACAAATGAAGAGGATTTGTCTGCAGAGACCATGGCAAGGTATCTAGTTGTGCAAACATCACACCTTTCTGTAAAACTGAGAATTATTTTACTACTGTAACGCAGTCTGCACACACAGTAGTGCTTGTCCGTACGTGGTGTTATACTAAGTGTAGCAGCATCTATTCCAAGTTCTCCTGTCCTACAAGTACCACAGGTAACGTGATAGTTGAAACTGACCACTTACTTTCACAACCTCTTTATGCCTTTTTGGTAAGGTATTTAACCACAGATGCAACATTTATCTTCACTTGTTCTTTCAGTATGCATGTAGAATTTCCTTATTTTATAAGAACAAATCATTACAGTTCAAGTACATTCTGAATCATACTTATACATTTTGAACCAGTGTGTGAGTTTTATCATACTTAGTATGAATATAATGTCATTGGAAGTCTTGAAATTTGTTATATTCTATCTTGATGCATTCACAGTAAGTGAATAAATGACCTATCCAAAGTGAAATTTGTTATATTCTATCTTGATGCATTCTTTGAATATTTAAATCTGAAATGCATTCACAGTAAGTGAATAAATGGCCTATCCAAAGTGAGCAGATTTTAAAGATGACCACTCCCATACAGTGCTGATGTTAATATGTGAACTTACTGCCACAACAATTAAAATGTTAAGAATTTTGTCTAGATTGTGCAAATTGCATATCATGCACCTTAAGCTTAGAAGGCTCTTGTTAAGTGTTATTCAGTCTTCAGTAAACATCATGACAATTCTATGCAGAGCCAGAAGCACTAGAGTCAATACTGAATTTGAGATTGATTCAGGAACACATTTATTCTTGTGTAGGGACGTTGGAGATGTTGTGACAACCCTCTATGAGACAGACCCACCTCCTGTAATACTGATTGGGCATAGCATGGGTGGAGCAATTGCTGTGCATGCTGCAAGTGCTAACTACATCCCTTCGCTGATTGGTCTCGCAGTAATTGATGTAGTGGAGGGAACAGCTCTAGATGCGTTGGCAAGCATGCAGAGTTTCCTTCGTGGCCGACCAACAAATTTCAAGTCCTTGGAGCATGCTATTGAGTGGTGGTAAGGATTTCATGTTATTTATTAAAACTATAAAATTTGTTCCATCAATAATAAATCATATGTGATTAAGTAGGTTTGAAGTTCTCACGGTGGTGAGCACAAAGGTGGCTGTTTTCTGGGTTGTAGCGCCATGTAGTTTGGTAGAAGTGTGCCATTGTTTCAGAGGTTGTTGTTGCCTTCATCACCCTACATGGTGCTACAACCCAGAAGACAGCCATCTTCAAATTATATGTGGTAGCCTAAAAAGTTCTGACAGCACTAAAAAGGAACAGAACAGAAGGCTCTAGAGAGGAGCAGAGAAAGCAAGGGAGGAGCTGCGTAGTTTATGTCTCCAGTCAATAAGGCAAAGTTTCCAAAGTTCATTAGGAATCCTTAGTCAGATGATATACCATTTCACTGTTGTATTATAATTATGTATTTTGTTGAACAGCCCCGTTGATAAATTTGTGATGTCGCCGTTATGGTTATGTCATAAATGGGTACCTGTTCTTACTAGTGGCAGTGTAAAGTACTGTTTAATACTTTAATTGCATTCATTTTATAGTATACGAAGTGGACAAGTCAGAAATATCGAGTCTGCAAAAGTTTCCATGCCTGGACAGATTAAAAAGTAAGTGTTAAATTTTGATATACTGGCCTCCTTAACACTTTCACTGTTATGAATGGAATTCTTTTACTACTACAGGTAAAATTATACTGTGAATTATACAGGAAACATGTTCACAAACTGTACAGAATTTTTTAACATTATTTACTTTGAGAAATTTGACAAGAGGAAAAAAGTATGAAATTAGTTAACTAATTCCTCATTTTACAGACATTTAGTTGATGAATTTTAGCATTGACACATTTTAAAATTTCACGTCCCTTTTCTAGTCACCATAACCATTATCAGCCAATCTGAAAATATATTAAGAAAGTTATCATCACATGTCAGTTTCAATAACGTTGCTTCATTTTTTTTAATTTCCTGTTTATTTTCCCTGTATAGCTGGTTTGATTAACTATTACTATATTTTATATACAGATTATCCTAAAGCAAGAGATTTCTTCGGTCTCCTACACTTCAATTTCAAATTAATGATTGTCAGGTTTGCAATGTTCATCATTAACAGTGAAAGGGTTAATCTGAATATAAATCCACAGTATCTTTTAACACAAAGACTATTTTAATGTAGTAGACGTGTGTCTAGAGAACAGTTATACATCTTTTGTATGAGACCTACGTTGCACACGACTTGCTATTAATACAAGAAATTATAGCAGTAGCGAAGCCAATCTGTTTTGATATTTTGAAAAATCACAAGTAAATATTCTAACACTTTGAAATTTTGGTGAAGTATAATCACAGTTTGTCTCTGAAAATTTGGCATTAACATTCTTATTTTTCTATTTTATAATTAATTACTACTTTAGTAGCTTAGGACTTGTAACCGTCTGCTGTATATGTGACAAAGAAATGGACTATCATAGCCTCCGATGACAAACTACTCTGAAAAATATGAGTTCAAAAAGATTGCTATAATTATATTATGTGATATATTTCAGTAGTAAGTCTGGTAAACTTGCAACAAATGACATAGATACGTACGTACCTTGATATATTTCAGTAGTAAGTCTGGTAAGCTTGCAACAAATGACATAGATACATACGTACCCGTGGACCAAGTGGGTGAACGGCACAGTTCATTATCCGGTGACGCCATTGAAGAAGAAGAAACTGAAGCATCAAACAGTGAGGGTCAAACAGGAGTTACAGACGTCTTCAAACATCCATCTGCTTTGGTACGAAAATGTAATAAACAGGAATTGTATTAAAATCATGTGATAAATACATGTACTGACACTTTTCCCTCGTTTATCAGTTTGTCTAGTATAATACATACTTGGAAACCGTGCTTAAATTTTAGTAGAAATTATGTTTTGCTATTTCTTTGGATTTATGTTTCACTTTTCAGAGAGGCTAAAGATTATGTTGAACTGAAGATGACATGCTGGTGAGGACCAAATATCACAGTATAATGGTTAACATTCCTGTCTGATGTTTTTTCACAATTTTCCTCTTAGGGTATCTTTAACTTTTCATCCTTTAGACATGTCACAACCATCTGAGTACTTATTTTATTTTCAGGCCAACAACAACAGTGAGTCGTCGGAGTACGTGTGGCGAATAGATCTGGGTCAAACAGAGAAATACTGGTCTGGTTGGTTTAAAGGCTTATCCAATACATTCCTTAATTGTCCAGTGCCCAAAATGCTGCTTTTGGCTGGAATTGATAGACTTGATAAGGATCTTACAGTTGGTCAGATGCAAGGTGAGCTTTGAACCACGATAAATAAGATGCGAATTGTATGTATAGAATGAGAAAGTTTTCAAGGAAACTTAAATTAGTTAACAAATAAAAATGGACCTTTTTGTGCCAATTCATACATCCATTTTTTAAGATTATTTTATTGCAGTTCTCCCATCTCTGCTTGAGTCACCCATAAGGGTTACCCGAAAAGTTTTTTGTGCGTTACTTTCCTCCTTCACATACCAATTCTTCATGATTTAATCACTAATACTACCAGGTGAAAACTTCACATGAAATTCCTCCATTCCTCTTTTCGTCATCACTGTTAGAACGAAATATTTTCTTCCCTCAGATTGAGATATTGCGCTTAACAAATCATACAAAGAAATGGGTTAAGTAAAAGAGATGAGACAATAGCAGTTTATGATTAGATTAGTAATAAGTGTTAACAAAATGTTGTATTGTCGTTGCTAGATTATGAATATCTACACATTTGTATTTCATATGCAGGCAAGTTTCAGATGCAAGTGTTGCCACAGTGTGGACATGCTGTGCATGAAGATGTACCTGATAAGGTTGCAGAAGTCCTGGCCACTTTCATGGTCAGACACAAGTTTGCAGAGCCAGAATCCAGTTTTGAAAGGTTAGTTCTATATATCACATACGATTCACTCTGAATCTTCTGGTACAGTTTGTGTGAAAATGAATTTAGAACAAACATTTGTCAGGGCATTGTGAGGCCTGATATTGCGACCTTAAAAATGTCGACACTGCAATTTACTCGTCACATTTTTTTATTTTGAAGGGTTTTTTTCCCCTGCTACAAACCATTAAATGAGATAGAACAGTGTGACGGCATGTCCAAACGTCAATATGTGCCAATATTTCAGGATGTTATAATTTTACACTCTCCACAGCAAAATTCTCAACACAAAATTTATAAATGTGTTCAGATGAGATGTACCGATAGTGTTAGGGTCACGTACCTACAGAGATCATTGTACCAGGTTTCTGCCTCTGAGCTAAGTTTTGAAGTTAGAAAGATTAAAAGCAGTGGACACAAACATATGTACTTGTAATATCTGAAGTTGAATTTTGTATTCAGAATATAAAATTTAAGTAACTGAAGAATCAGTGAATGGAAATGATAGGACAGTCAGATAATTACTGACTGTGGCAGTATTGATTTAAATTTATGAAAAAAATGTTGTTTGCAGGACCTTCCCAGCTTGTTGAGGAGCTTACGGAAGGAAGCCTGCGATGTCATGTCCTCCAGTTAACCCACTTTGGGTGCCGTTGTCCAAACTGTGTACTCTATTACAGTAAACCTGTGCTAGTAAAACAGGTTTGAAAGTGTTAATTTATTTTCCCCATGTGGTACATGAGTCCAGAGAGTACAGAGTAACATGTTTTTATGTAAAAATGTTTCTAAGTAAAAGGAACATGTCAAGGAGGACAATATCAAAACAGACAAATGAAACAAGGGAAGGTGATGGATATTAAAACCGAGCCATAATAAAATCATGCACGATAGCAGTTCTGCTGCTGATGTGATATAAAAGGAGTAACTAAATTTTGTTTGTGAAGACATGTAATAATAAATGCTGCTAAATTTTCTGCTTATGTTTTTCCTTCCTACATTCTTTTTCACTTAATTTATTTATCTCAAAACTTTGAATCCCAGTAATTTATATTGAAGGTTATTTATATTTGATTAAAATTAACACCCATCAATGAATTAAGCTTTAGAATTATGAATTAAGAATTATGCTTTATAAGTATTCTGTATTTTGAGTAATGGACAGAGTACTATTCATTTTACTTAGGTTTTAGTGGCTTGCCTTTATCATTTCAACTAAATTCCTGAACTGTTACCGTAAATACAGTAACCCATGATCGATTCATTACCTGGGCCAACATCTAATGTGAATACACTGTCCCTGTATCCACTATAAAAAACTTAATCAAAATAATGCTTTTTTGTTTACGTAGATTTCAAAATAAAAAAATGTAATTCCTCAGCACCAGAGAATGTAAATCAATGTAAATAACTTGAGAATAAAGGAATAGGAGATTTAAAGTCATGATGCATGATTGGATCAAAAGTATTGTCCCTTAAAAATTTGTATTAAAATTTTATAGACAAGTCCTACAATACACACACAATATGGGAATATGATTTACATTATTTTAACAATTCAACTTACTGTGTTGGTCCTCAAGGCAGTAAAACCAGGAGACAATATCACATTAGTGTAATACCCCAAGCAAAGCATAAATTTCACCCAGCATCATTCCTTTCTAAACCTGCAAAGATAACTTAATTTCATCACAATACCCTTGGTTTTATCCCCACACTTCTTCCATGATTTTATTCATTGGTCTGCAAAATGGCTGATCTCAGATACTCTTTCACAAATTCTTTAGTGAAAATTAGCAAGATGTAATTTTTATCTTTTGCTGCACTCTGCAGCCCAATTCTGCAAGTGAAAAGTTCACATACAATCTGAGATTTCTTCTCATTCAGAATCTCTTGTCAATTACACCACTTTCACCCATTCATTACCATCATCGTTCACTAAATGTCAATCAGTACAAAATAATTCACAGTTATTGAATCAAATTTTCTTTTGAAGTTACATCTGAACTTTCCAATAGTTGCATATCTGATAGCTCATCTCTTTCTGCTAATAATGGGAGTTATGGTACCAAGGCAGGAAGTAATTGCATAGCTTATTAGAATCTTGAGACAGTCTTACATTCAGTATTATATATATATATATATATATATATATATATATATAAAAAAAAACCTCTAA